CAGAGAGAAGTGGCTTGTGCATGCTTGCACATGTGTGTGTGGGTGGCTCACTGCTCTAGGGGCTCCGAGCAGGGAGAGCTGAAATTCAGCACATACACCATTCACCAAGCCCCATGTCTGGGGTAGGAGCACACCCACCTGGTGGAAGAAGTGCCTTTTTCTCATTTAAATCAAGGCTCTGGTAGTAAAGTCTCTTAGTTGCAGTACTTAAAGTGGAACCAAGGTCCCCTTGAGTCCCAGGCCAGTGCTTTTTTGAGCCTCTTTAACTGCCACCCCCTCTTGAATGTACCCAGGGTTTTGCGTCTCTCAGGCCCAGAGGCTCACCTGAATTCTCACTAATCCTAACAGCCACATGGGGCTTTCCTGCTGCTTCGGAGTGACTTCCCTATCTCAGGATGGGATAGGGAGCCCCATTTCTTTGAAATCATCAGGTGTCTTGAGGAGAGACAGCAATACCCTCTCTCACCCTTCCCTGCTCCAGCTTCCCTTTCCTTCACACAGTGCACACAGAATTCCTATGGCCTTCCGCCACGTACCTAACAGGGATGCTGGGGCCAGGTTGCCATGAGCACAGAGACCACACATCAGGCATTTTTCAAAACAGTGTAGATGCCGTACATACTGTCTTTTTGCTCCTATAAATGTATGGCCTTTGTCACATCTTGTAATCAAATTCTTAGTTTGGAAAATGGGTCTCTGCAGCCATGGAATTCTTCTCAATTCAAAGGAGGAGGCTGGATTTCAGAGTCAGACNACACACACACGTGTGCGCATGCACACCACAGATAAAATACCCCCACTAAAAAGGCATTCTTTTAGGTCTAGGAAGTAATACTTTAAACCAATAAAACCCATGGGGGGTTAGTTGCAGCAAACTCCACTGATAGAACACAGGAGAACAACCTGGATCAAAAACATCAGGAAGGGCAAGTGGAGCCCTAACAGTATTGGCATAAGGGGACAAAAACCAAATTCTTCTCTATTTTATCCCAAGGTGGTCCTGGGAAGGATGTAGTGTGGAGTGAGGGGAGGTGCAACGCAGTAGGTCACCAGTAGAAATAAATCACACTGAAGCCCCCTCAGGGAGGAAAAGAGCCATTAGGCTGTACTTTGTTCTAACGAAAAGATCAAGTGAGAATTCCAGGGAATTCATTTCAATGATGGCCCCCTTCCTCCCCCTCCTGACAGAGCAGGTCTCCACTCCAGAAATTAAAGTGTTAAACAAGACCCAGGAGAACGGGACCTGCAGCTTGATGCTGTCCTGCACAGTGGAGAAGGGGGACCATGTGGCTTACAGCTGGAGTGAGGAGGCGGGCACCCACCCACTGAGCCCAGCCAGCAGCTCCCACCTCCTGTACCTCACCCTTGGCGCCCAGCATGCTGACAATATCTACATCTGCTCCGCAAGCAACCCCATCAGCAACCGCTCCCAGACCTTCACCCCGTGGTCCAGATGCATGCCAGATCCCACAGGTGAGTACACTGGTGGTGACTAATGTGCCACAGTAATGAGCATGGGCTCAGTCCCCACCTGAGCCAGTTGTTCTGCTTCACTTTGGTAACAACACTCTACATTTTCCTTATAGCTTGCAAAAGCTTCCATGTGCATTCAGTGAGCACACTGTCATATTGACCAGGGAGGCATTATTATGAATAGTTTACAATTGAGGAAACCAACAGGAAATGATGGAGCCAGACCCAGAACCCAGGTTTCCAAGGCTCGATCCTTCTCTTCTGCCTCCCGCCCTGGCTCCAACTTGCAAGGTTGACTGGGTGAAGGAGCGAAGGTGGCAGGTCCTGACTCTCAAGTTCATCCCCCACTAATGGTGGGACAGTTCCATATCATCAATAAATATTTATCGATCACCTACCCTGTAGGAAATTGGGAATAGATATGATCTCTGCTCTCTAACAATGCATTGTAAAGATAAGGTACGAAACATTTGTTCAATAATGAAACACAGGATCTAATGAAGGGCCTCATTTTATGGAATGGACTGTGAATCCCACAGCAGGTTGGAGAGAGGTGGTATTAAGACCTGGACTGTGAAGTCTGGGGAATAATGATAAGTTGTACAGCACTTTACTATTGGCAAAGCACTTTCAACTGTACGATTTCTTTTGATCTTCACAATAACCTTGCCAGGTAGGTGTTATCATTCTCATTTTACAATTCAGGAAATTGAAGTTCATAGCATTTAAGTAGCCTCTTCAAGTTTCTTCAACTTCTAATAAGTGGAGTTAGCATCTACACCTAGATCTTCTGGCTTCTCTTTCTCTAGAAAGAAAAGCATCATTATTCTGTTACCAAAAGGCACAGAGAGAGCTCATTAAGTCAGTCCATCTCACCACTTGGAAACAAGATTAAACACTGACCCATTTCACCAACAGATCTTGTGTCCCTGCCTCAAGCAGGTTCAGGGACAGAAGGACCAGGCTCCTGGCCCTGCCAAGCATTGCTTATGCTCTGACATTCTCCTCTCTGTATCCACTGAGGGGAAACAGGAGTCATTCCAATGAGACTCCTGCCCATAGTAGGCTTGGTGTCTATGTGGAGGGCTTTCTCAAATGACCAGGGATGAGGGGGAATCCAGCCAAGTTATGCTCTCCTGCATACCACCTCCTTTCGCAGAGACCACCCTGGAGTATTCCCAGAAGGACTTCTGGGAAAATTCCAGCTGGCCTCCAATCTGCACCTAGGAGTTTTGTGGTGGACCTAACCCACTTCATGTTGCCTTTCCCAGCCACTACATAGCATGCGTCAACCATTTGTCCACCTGCGGATGTGTCTGGCTGCTTGTGCACCTTGCATACAAATCACATTCAGAGACATTCCCCCAAATTCAGACCTCCCTCTCTGCCCACGGTCATTAAGAATGTGTGACAGGACCAAGAAACTCCCAGCCACTACATAGCATGAGTCAACCATCTGTCCACCTGCGGATGTGTCTGGCTGCTTGTGCACCTTGCATACAAATCGCATTCAGAGACATTTCCCCAAATTCAGACCTCCCTCTCTGCCCACGGTCATTAAGAATGTGTGACAGGACCAAGAAAGCAGTGTTGCATAGTGAGTAGTTTATAGAACATGGCCCCAGAGGTCCTAGATCCAAGGCGGTCCTTTCTACTTACAAGGGTAAGTCGCTCAACCCCTCTGAGACTTAGATTCTTCACCTGTAAATAGTAACAGGCAAGGCTTAATTGTCTATGCTCCGGCTATGTGACATCTTCTTTAACCCTCACAGCAACCAAATAATGTCCATAGTATTAGCATTGCTGCTTTAAAGGTGAGAAAATAAAGCTATAAAAAGGTTAAGTAAAGTCACACACAGAGTAAGTGAGAGAGATGGGTGGTCTGATCCTGGAATCCTCATAAGTATTAGTGGAAGAGATAACACACTTAAAATGCCCTATAAACTATAATAAAAATGTAGTTTTTATTATGAAAACTACATAACTACTATTAAGTAAGTTTTTATTTTAAATGAGGAAGCAGTCACCCTCACCCCAGCACAGCCCTCTCTGGTTACAGCAGCCCTCTCCGGTTAGAGTAAAGACAGGGCACCAGATCTTATATACTGGGTTGTCCCAAAACAGAGGGAGAGCTCTCTTCATGCTCCTCGATGTGGTTTCACAAGAATTTAATCAGTGCATACCAAAGCCTTGCTATCCGTAAAGATAAGGGCAGTTGGCTCAGGACATTTTAAGGAAACACGTGACAATGTTCTTACCCATCTAAGCCACTCTGAGGACCAAGTACACACTATTGTGAACAGATTTACAGCATACGAAGCTGGCTCTTGTGAGGTGCGGAGGGACACAAAGCAGCAGAAACGTGGGGCCATGGGAAGAGCCCTGTCAGATCTCAGCTCAGGCATTAGGAGAGCCACTGGACATGAGGCAGCCATTGCCCTCCCTTGAGCCTGTTTCATCATGTGTAAAACAAAAAGGGTGGACAAGTACAGTCCCTTCCAGAGCTGATAGTCTATGACTCAGTTTGTATGCATATTAATAAGTTCTGCTTATAAAGGGTTGTTGAGGTGTATCAGTTTGCTAAGACTTTATAACAAAGTACAACAAACTGGATGAATTAAACAATTGACATTTCTAGTCTCTCATTTCTGGAACCTAGAAGTCAGAACAAGGTGTCAGCAGGATCAGTTTCTCCTGAGAGCTGTGGGGGAAGGATCTGTTCTAGGCCTCTCTCCTTGGCTTGTGGATGACTGTCTTCTCCTGTGTCTCTTCACACGTTTGTCTTCTCTCTGTGCATATTTCTGTGTACAAATTTCTTCTTCTTGTCAGGACACCAGTCATATTGGATTAGGGCCCATCTGTATCAGTTTGCTAGGGCTGGTTACTTAAATAAGAGAAACTTATTTTCTCACAGTTTTGGAGGTTAGAAGTTCAAGATCAAGGTGTGGGCAGGTTTGGTTTCTTCTGATGCCTCTCTCCTTAGTTTGCAGATGGCCACCTTCTCACTGCGTCCTTTTCTGGTCTTTTTTTGTGTATTCACATCCCTCGTGTCTCTTCATATGTCCAAGTTTACTCTTTTTTTAAGGACACCAGTCAGACTAGATTAGGGTCCAACCTAATGACCTCATTTCAACTCAATCTACCTTCTCACTGCATCCTTTTCTGGTCTTTTTTTGTGTATTCACATCCCTCGTGTCTCTTCATATGTCCAAGTTTACTCTTCTTTTAAGGACACCAGTCAGACTAGATTAGGGTCCAACCTAATGACCTCATTTCAACTCAATCACCTCTTTAAAGACCCTATCCCCAAATACAGTCATATCTGAGGTACTGGGGGTTAGGGCTTCAACATATGAATTTTCAGGGGGATACAATTCAGTCCATAACATCACTCTAATGACCTCATTTTAACTTGATTACCTCAGTAAAGACCTTATGTCCAAATAAGGATATCAACACAGGAATTTTGGGGTGACACAATTCAACCAGTAACACAAGTAGAGATCCGCCCCCACTGCCTTTGAGGATGGGGGACCACACGGCATCAGAACCAGGTCACAAGGCTGGTTTACACTATACTCTTCCCAGTACACTTGGTTGCCTAAACACTGAAAACAGAGTTTTATTAGTACTTTGATTTGTGTTTGCAGATGAATGCTACTAATTCTTAAAACGTTATGCTTAGTTTGGCAAAACACTTATTGAGGTTCTACGGTGTTCCAACATTGTGCTAGGTGCTGAGTACACAGAGATAGAAAGGACACAATCCTTGTCCTTAAGAGCGAAGACAGTTCTATAAATAAATAAGTACCATAGATTACATAGTGTGATAGGTGCAAAACAGAAATAAGTGCAAGGTAACAAAGAGAAAGGAACGATTAACAGCGTCTCAGGGGATCAGAGGGAGTCTCACAGAGGGCATAACATAAACTGAACTTTGAAGAATAAATAGAAATTACCCGAGCTGACAAAAGACATCCTAGGCAGAGGGAAAAGCGGGTGGAGCTGGTTCTTGAATTGTATTATCCTGTGGGTGATGGGCACTAATAAAGAGTTTTAGATAGAAGAGTAACACCACCAGTTTTGCATTTCAAAGAGAAAATTCAGTGATATAGAGAATAGACTGAGGGAGAAGAAAGAGAAACTAGTTAGGAGAAACACTTTACTCCAGTCATTCATCAAGAGATGATGAGGCCTGAGCAAAAGCAGTGACTGTTAGTTAACAAAGACTTTTTTCATGGGGGATATAAAGGGAATACAGCCCTGGGATGAAGTAGCAGGGTCTGAGGGCTTATTTATTTTACTTCACTGTCTATAGTGAAAAACTCAAATTGGCTAACCAAGTGATGAGACCAAAGGTGACATGATGTCAGCACTATCTCTCGACAGGACTCAAACTGCTGTGCGGAGACATATATGCTCCTTGAAATATTTTTTTAAGTGATCATATATTCATCCTCATTTCAATTGTCATCTGCATGTTTTATAGTAAGAAGCACTTTAATGTCTATTTAATAAAGCATCTTTTTTGCAAAGTCCAAATCCTAGGGTGCTATAAAGTACCCTGGCTAGGTCATGGGAAGCATGTTGATGTGGGTCAACATGGGAAGCATGGCTTCCATGGCTAGGTCATGGGAAGCATGTTGATGTGGGTCAACACCGGACAGTATGTGACTTGCTTCCACCCTGGCTAGGTCATGGGAAGCATGTTGATGTGGGTCAACACCGGACAGTATGTGACTTGCTTCCATCCTTAATGACTGTGTTCTGAGATAGTTATATCTGTACCGAAATGATTAATATACCACCTTAAATGATTCAACTTAAAAGGGAGTGCCCTGGAAGCTCATCTTGAAAAGGGGACCTCTTTCAATAGAATAGCAAAAAGCTGGCTCAGCATGTCTGAGCTACCCCAGTGGAAGAAAAGACTGACATCTACCAGTGAGCCCTGGAGACTCCCCCTTTCTAACAAGGCCATTTCCTCAAATAGGGAGCTCCCATTGTTACAGAGTCACCTAGATGTTCCATGCACTGGGGCAAGTTCCAGTCCATGGTCTTCCCAAACCAGCAAGTCTGATCACCATGGTGGGAGGATGGAACCTCGACGCTTATGGGCCAGAGCCTTGTCACATGGTCACACCTGCTACAAGGAAGGCTGAGAAATATAGTCCTTAGCTGTCTGTGCAGCCATGTACCTGGACAAGACTAGCATTACCATGCAGGAATGGGAGAAATGGCCCTAGAGGCACAACCAGTAGCCTCTGCAACACAATGCTGGACGGGATAGGCAGGTGTAAGGGATTTTTCTGGAAGCTGAGAACTCTGTAAAAATTTTTACTTGGATGGTCCCAGACCTTAAATTTGTATATGGTTCATGAGCATCCTTTCCCTGCCCCCAATTCTGAGTAGAAACTGCCGCCAACAAGAAGGTATATCTTAAAGATGGTTGACTTCCTCACAGAGTCGTGGGCCATGTGGCTGCCTTGCTGACAGAACCACATAAAAGGCAGGAAAGAGATCCGGTGCTCTCAGACCGTTACGTTGGCATCTCAGTATCTCCTGGGTGAACTACATTTGTTTCTCAGATTCTTTATTGTTTTCTTCTTTATCTTCCTTAAAAAATAAGGTTTGGGGACTTGAGGAGAGAGAGAAGCTTTTGTGTTTCTGTGGCAACAGACTTTCAGAGACAAAAAAGGCCTTCCGGCATTTTCTTTGGAGGCATGGCTATGTGCCAAGTTATCACATTTAAGCCACAGTCAGTAGAGGAGAGGACCACAGGGTGAAGACTCATGCAAAGTTCTCTGCATAAATGGAACGGAGTTCTCAACCAGGTAGCCTGCTCAGCTACCTCTGAGAGGTTCCAGGGGGAGAAATGTCCCAAACCTCTAGTTCAAGAATGTTCAGGTAGAGTTTCTTTGTGGACAGAGAATGGGGGCCTGTGAACCCAGGACAACCTTTGCCTCACTTCTGAGCATCCCCATCCTGAGAGGCCTCCTTACATGACTGAGCAAAAAGAGAGAGAGAGCTGGAGTTTCTGCCACAGGAAATAGAGGTTTGTAAATGGGAGCACAGGTGACATGTTCAAGGTGCAGACACGCACTTTCCTCCAGGCACCACTTTGTTATTATAGAGCATATGCCAAGTAGGTCATTGCTCCTTCCCTTTGACTCCTGCCTTGGGCCATTCCAAAGGTGACTTTGCATAGGTCTCCTTCTGAGACCTTCTTCTATTTAGCACTCTGATAATTCTGTAAAAAAGCATACATAACAATCCTCTCCCAGATCCATTCTTATGGCCTCTAATTTAATTTAGCTTAGTTCATCAAAGGCATATTGACTGTCCCCTGCCCTATATTGTATCAGGTGGCATGCGGGGTGCAAAAAAAGAATAAGATACAGGACCTACTTTCACAAAATTTGCTATCTAGGTGGGACTTTATACCTTACTAGGTAGAAAGCTATTATCATATTAAAAAACCACTATTGGACTTCCTCTTTGGAAGGGAACAGTATTCATTTAGGATAGTACCTTAATAAATGCTAGAAGGCAGAAAGGATCCCCCAAGGAATCCAAATGTGGGTTGGATGATTCTGTATGAGAACAGGGAAGACGTTGCTTGTACAGAAATAGCAAGAGAAACAGAGGGTCTGAGCCTGTCATATAGTGATTAAAAAACCCACAAAATTCTGAGTGTAAGGGTTTTTTTGTTTGTTTTTGTTGTTTTTTTGTGGAAACTGATGAAGAGACTGAACCTTGCACTCATGACAGCACAGAGTAGAGCAAGTGGAGCTACAAGAGCAAAGACTTAGAAAACCATGAGAAAATTATTCCCAGAAATTACAGAAATCTGGGCAGCCTGACCCCAAAAAGCTGTAAAAGTAGCATTTTGTCCATATTTATTCAAATTCCTAAGGGCATAGAGTTCCCGACATTTAGTTTCCATATAAATATCATAAGTAGAGAATAGCACCAAATGAATAAACACTAATTGTAAATACACATTATAGAAAAACTAAGTCATTAGCAAAGGACAGGATGGGGCTGAAGCATCTCTGGACATCAGTGAAGAGATTCCTTTGGACTTGAGATCAAACCCATCTTATTTTCCTGCCAATCAACCAACAAGAATCTACCAAGGACCTATTATGTGCCAAGTACTAGGACAGCTGCAAAAGAGGTATAAGAGATGGTGTCTGGCCTCCAGGTACCAACCAGCTAGTTGAAGAATTGAGGCTAGTAGAAGTAGTTGAAATTTATGGACTACATGATGGATTCCGGGCGTTTCTCTGGGTACTCTCCATGCATTACTGCACTGGTTCATCAGAACAACTCTGAACTGAACATGGTTATGATCATTTTACAAATGAGGAAACTGAGACCCCAGAGGGTATGAGTAGCAGATCTGAGGCCACAGAGCTGTCAAATGGTAGACCCAGAATTTGAATTTGTCTGTCTGGCTCCAAATACCATCACTGAAAATGGTCTCTACAGCAAAAATATTGTTGCCAAAACTCAGGTTCTAATACACACGACATAAACCACAGGTGCTGCAGGAGCCCAAGGGAGAGGGAAGAATGAGAGCTGGGTTGGCCAGGAAAGGTGACAGAAAGGAAGTGAGATTGGCTGGTGTCAGGCTGGGCAGGCATGGGGGACCACTGAAGGCGCAGCGAGAAGGAGGAGCAACGGGCCAGGAAGGGGCATGTGTTGGACGGAGGATGGAAAAGGAAGAGTCAGCTGCCCAGAGGGCTTTTGACTCAAGCGGTCTTCTAGGCATCACAGCCTGACACTACTTTCCTCGAGGTGGGCCCCATATCTAGAGGCTACAACGCACACTGCAAAATCTGCAGTTCTCATCTCAGCCATTCTGCCATCAGTGTTTTCTGTGACTCTAGTACACTTGTCTGAGTCTCAGTTTCCTCAACGTAAAATTAGTGGAGTAACATAAGCACTATATTGTACTTCCTTTAAGTTTTTTTTTAAAAAGTCTATGGTTCTGTAACTTAAATCCCTTGGTAGATTCATGTCTGTATGCAAAAACTAGGAGAAAAATAAGAGTTTATAAAATATCTTTAAGGACTATGGCTGAATTGTCTCCCAGATCTAGCTGGACTGGCAGAAGCTGGTCATTTATGTCATAGGAGGGCGTGGCAGACATTTTCAACCTCATGAGACCCTGGAAAAGACTGAGAGGGCTGGCGTGATCATGTCCTTGGAGAGTCAATATTGTGCCCCAGTCACTGTTAGGTGGGTAGGTGGGCAGCAGAGCTGTCAGCAGCAGGTGTGAGGGGACAGGAGAGAGGCTGACTTGGCAGGCGTTACTGAAGCAACTTTGTTGTCTGTGATTTTCCAGTTTTGGAGGCACCACCTTGTTTGTTGGTTTTATTTATTTATTTTTTAAATCTCAAATAAATTTGAGAGAAATACTATCTTTTAAAATGTTATAAATGGTTGGGATATTTATTCTCAAATTAGCTTTTGTTTTAGAAGTTCCCAAAATACATATGGTAGAAAAAGAAAGAGGAAATAGTCTCAAAATAGTGAGTGCTGCTATCACAGTTTGCAGAGTTGGTTCCATGGGCTGGTGAAATACGAAGCTTCTGCTGCTGGTTCTGCTTCTTATCATTGCATTTGGGAGGCTTCTCCATAGGTCTCTGGTGTTGACAGCATAAAGCCTGAATCAATCGATCTCTCTCTCAGACACACACCCCTGCACAGAGGGTTCTCAGCAACCATAAGCCATTCACAGCGATCATTCAGAGTAGAGCTGCTAACAGGCACCACCAGCCTCAGCAGCGATTCCAAATTTCATACTTTATACAAGTTCAGGAATCTTTTTAGAACTCTCTGCCTGTCGCCTAACTTTTTGATCAGATCACATGACTGTCTGTTGAAGTTGGTATCCAGCAGGGTTAATACATGTTTAATTTGGGGAAAACAATTTACAATCAAGGCGTTCACAAAGTCAGTGCAGTGAGATTCCTTGGGATAACTTGATGTATAAAAGTAAGAAAGAGAATCTTTTCAAATCCGGAAGGCACTTTCTGGTTAGCTATCAGGTTGGAGGCCCACTGGGCCTTGGTGGGATGCCTTTTATCAAGGCATTGAGACTTCAGTCTGTATCTTTGGTCAACTCTGTGAACTTCTGAATTGTGTCTGCCATCACTCTGTTCCTCTGTAACCCGTATATTCCTTCTTTTCAACTTCTTCCCAGCAAATCCATCCCAGGTCCGACAACAAACAGGCTAACTCCACAATCATCCTTATAAGTACCCTTACACACTAATGTGAACACTTGGTGTTACACTATTTAAGACCTTAGTGCTATTACTTTACTTAGAAGCCAAGTGCTTCAGGTTGGCCCCCAGTGTTCGTTACCCTGGTGTAACTTTCCCCAAGGCCATAAGCCTCTCTGACTCTCCAAGAAGTCTATCTTTAGTATTCAGCCATGTTTCTACTCCTAGGCCAAGCTCTAGTTCTTGAAGTTCTTTATGCCTGCTTTCTTATTCCATAAAATGGGAGTATGAGAGTATCTACCTTGTAGGATTGTTGTGAGGATTAAATACATCAGTACACATAGTGCACTAAAAAAAGTCTGGCCCATTGTAAGTACTCAATAATTGTCTATTGCTATCTTTTTGCAATAAACGTCTTCTTTACTAGGGCAATAAGTATCATTTACTTTTTTGCAAAGTGTTGCAACTGGTTCAAAAGGATTTGATAAAGTGGGTAAAGGAGAGGAAGCAATAAATTTGTGTCTCTGATTTTGAGCCTGGGTGATTGATACTCTAGGGCTAGTTTTAAACATGAGAATGATTGAGAGAAAAAACTATATGTTTTTCTTTCAGTTCAAGTCTGGTGCGTTTCACACAGTTATTTGCATGGGAAGACAAAAATAACACTACTATGTATATTTTTGAAAAAGGAGAGTAGATCTTTCTTCCTCCCAGTGTCTCATGAGAATGGCATGAGGGTATGGGGATGGCATCTGGAACCAGCATGTTCTTTTTTTTTTTTTTTTACCCAGAATGAATACAGGACTCATAGACATTTTAAAAATTGAGAAACTGGGCAGAGACATTGACTTAGGAAAGATGAAGATATGTTTAATTTTAAACATGTAGTGGTGGAGGTGAAAATAAAGCATTTGAATAGAAAAAAGTTTAGGGAAGTCAGGAACATGAAATTCAATTATAGTGAGAGAAATTAGGGTAAGAAAATAGCTATGGAAATCTCCAGTGGTCTAAAGATGATCTCTGAAACCATGAAAATGAATGTCTCCTTGGGGAGAGAATATAGAAGGGAAGTCAGGAACATGAAATTCAATTATAGTGAGAGAAATTAGGGTAAGAAAATAGCTATGGAAATCTCCAATGGTCTAAAGATGATCTCTGAAACCATGAAAATGAATGTCTCCTTGGGGAGAGAATATAGAAATAGAAAATGAGCTTGGTTTTCTCTCTTCTGTGTAGGATGTTCTGAAATTCACAGTACTTTTGAGATTTCCCTTTGACTTTTTTTTTCAGTATTTCCAAGACAATGGGGACTGTATGCTGGGCTGTTCTTAGGGGGCATCGTTGGTGTCATCATGATTCTAGAAGTGGTAATACTACTGTTGAAAAGAAAAGGTAGGTGTCTGACAATAAAGAGATTCTCATCAGACTGTCTGTGGTTATCGAGGGACCTCTTCTCACAAGTGCAGACCTGCTCTCACCACTTTGCTTTCTGTATGTGGCCACCTTTGCAAAAACACTAAATATACATATCCTGGGACCTTGCTCAATTCAGTCTGATTCAATATGTTTTGATCCCCTATACTAGGCTATGGATAAATAGAGAGAAGAGCTACAGGTGTCTAATGTGGGAGACATTATGCAGATCATTTTAATTTGGTATGACTAGCATTGCCGTACAGGCATGTACAAGATGCTGAGGGGGGTCTAGCCAAGAGGCTTAACAGTATTCACTGGGAACAGAATTCAGAAAATTCTTGGATCTTGTTCAAAAGTCCCCTGGGATGGACTAAAACCATTAATGCCCAATTATTCCCCTGCAGTTTATGTGCCTAGAGGTAATATCTCCTGGCCTCTTCTCCAAACTACTGATTCAATACCTCAGGGCAATGTGCTCCCCTCAGCCGCGCAACCACCGACCCACATTGGAGACAATGTCTTGACCAAGACCAGAACAAATTCCCTGGCTGGCATTCTCATGGTGAGGGTAGTACTTGGTCCTCACACCACCAAGGTGATGGCTGATCTCATTCTCAAGTAGATCAAATGTTATCTACGTGCGGTCTTCTTAGAAAAGGGCTTACCTCAGCACTCTGTGTTGGTTTTGCTCATATAAGAAAATCTAGATCAGAGCACACAGCTGCCCACTTTTGTCTCGTTTCCTACATCTAAGAGTTAGCTGGGGAGGAGGGATGGGTGATTCATATAGAAATTGTGTTGACAGCCTAAAGGGATGGGGGTGAAGTCACCACCTTTGGCTTGTATTATATGGAAACAGTGAGATACCAGGGATGAGAAAACCGTGGTTAACTCAACCACATTAACTTAGCTGAAATCTTAACTTCTCCACTTTCCTCAACTACATTCCACTCGTCACACGGCTGTGCTCTGAAGGGAAGAGTGCTGCCCCTCTTTCCACAGTTCCCTACACCTTCTCCGACACATGCCCATCCTCATCTCCAGTCACCATTGATTCCTCGTGAGAGCCAGTAACACACAAAACTGCCTCAATCTGTGGTAAAGTCTATATTTAGTTGCTATATCCTCCACAAAAACTTTGCTTGAAAGATTGTTGGCAGCTTCTAATGGTATCATCTTCAGAATGCAGCCTGACTCTGAAGGTTTTCAAATTGACTGTCTAACAATTTCATGTCCAGGAGAATATGCTGGTGAAGAACATGGGCTTTGGCATTAGGCAAGCTTACATTCAAATGCAGGCTTCGCCACTGACAAGCTGTGCGACCAAATAAATGGCAACCTCTCATCTGCAATGTGAGGCTGATATTTGTACTTCATGGTATTACTGTGAGAACTGGCAAGTTGATACACAGAAAGAACTGAACACAGGGACTTCCATAGATTGAAGGATGATAGATAGATAGACAGATAGATAGACAGATAGATAGATAGATAGATAGATAGATAGATAGATAGACAGACAGACAGACAGACAGACAGACAGTCGATACCTTCATTTTACAGCTATGGTAAAAGAAGAGACCCACTGAGATGACACCATTTGTTCAACGATACCTTCATTTTACAGCTATGGTAAAAGAAGAGACCCACTGAGATGACACCATTTGTTCAATACCGCACAGCTAATGATGGCTACAACGTAGGTGCTGTAATTCTAAGGCCAAGACCTTTTTCATTAGACTCTAAGACCTTGCTGACTTTGAACTGAGTTGAGGTGGCTCCTGAAAACCTGTTCTTGCTCTGGGGCAAAAATCTGAGACTAAATGATCTTGATCCAGTGGTCTTTTGAGCAGCAATGGCCAGTCTCACTTTTTCCTTCTGTCTGACCATTTAGGACTGTCCCCCCAATTCTAAATTTCAGCCTGAGCTGACCTACAAGAGTAAATGTACACACACACACACACCACACACACACACATGCACGCACACACACACACGCGCACACACACACACACACGTTCAGGATTCACCCTGACCAAAAAAATGAAGTAGGAACCACCAGGCACACTATGCTCGTGCCCACACAAGTCTCATGTTGACTTTCCTTGAATTCTTAGAACTTCCCCAGTGACTGCCCATCATTTCCTCCCCAAGAATCACACCTTATGCAGCACATTCCATCATGCTAACCACATATGTACTAGGCATCTTCCTTCCCAAATAAAAAATATGCCTCTCCTAAGTGCTGTTCCCTCAGAGACATGTTCTCAGTTGTTTTAAGAGCATAAATGAACTGATGTTAAAATAAGTTCATCCTAAAGACTGTGTGATTTTCTCTGGGTCAAGCCTCCATAGCCTCTGCCTGGACTTTGCAATCATCCCCCCAGAGGCCTCCATGCCTCAGTCTTACCTCTGACCAGCATCCTGGCTGCTGCATGATGTGTGCAAAGGACAGCATGCAACATTAGCAAGAATGAGATAGATCCACTGCACTAGCATGAAAGAGATCCTCAACACATTTTAAATGAAAAGCTCAAGTTACACAGAAGTGTATATAGAATGTCCCATTTGTGTAAAAAGAAAAAATCTATGTAAGTATAGGAAATATTCAGAACAGCACTGTCCACATGTGGCTATTTAAATTTAAATGAATTTGAATTAAATATAATTTAATATTTAGTCCCTCAATTGCATTAGTCATGGTTCAAGTGCTCAATAGCCACCTGTGGCTTGTGGCTATATTAGACAGTGCGGACATGAAATATTTCCACCATCTCTGAAAGTTCTATTGCACCCAGCTGGTCTAAAAGGCTATACACCAAACTTTTAAGAGTGATTAGTTCTGGGAATAAAATTGGGGTGGCTAATGGGGGAGAGGGACTTATGCTTTTTATTTGATGCATTTCTATACAATTTTAATTTTCATAAGGAGAATGAATTACTCCTATAATTTCAAGAGAAAAAAAACTGGCTAAAAATGAAAATATTCTGCAATTTGTTAATTTCCACAGACCCTAAGCTCTGAGCAAAATTTCCAGATGGTGGTCAATAGATGATGTTGTAGCTTTATTTTCCAAATAGTCTCAGGTCGATTGTTCCTACCCAAATCTGCCCTCTCCCACACCACCAAGTCCCCCAGAAATAGGGAGGTGAGAAAGCTGCAAGTAAAGCAACATGCTACCTGCTGGAGAATTCAAAAGAGGTATAGATAACTAGCCATACCCTCAAAGAACTTAGAATCCTATTAGGAGACAGATATGCACATCAAACAATGGAGATTAAAATCATTAAATGGCACATCAAAGAGAATACACCTAACACATATTGGGTGTTTACTATGTTCCAGGCTCTGTTCTAAACACTTTACAAATAATATCTCATTTAATTATCACAACAGCACTGTGAGGCAGATATTTCAAATCCCATTTCACAAATAGGGAAATAGTCCTAGAGATAAGGTAACTGATACAATATCATATAACAAATGTGCAGGGGATTTGGGACTCAGTGCTTTTTTCCTATAGTACTCTTGGGGAAGGTGGGTATGCGATGGGGAGTAAAGACCCAACAGCTGAGCAGGGAGTTCATGATTGGGACCAGAGGGAGATAACCACTATGGTTTCTTTTCCCCAGGTAAAGCAGACCACCAGCCGACAACGGAAGGAAAAAGCTTTACTATCTATGCCCAAGTCCAGAAATCAGGTGTAAGTTCTTTTCTTTCTTTGGGACAGACCTGTCATGTTTCCCATGGGATCCCTAGCCAGTCTGACATCCATGGTTCTGCATGTGTTCTAGAGCAGAGAAAATTAGGGAAGCAGAAGCAAGGAACAAGAGCTCTCCCAAAGTTCACTAAACTTCAGTGTCATATGGGACTGTTTATTATTTGAAACAATAGAAACCACTTGTGTAATCTTCTGGTCATCTGTTTCTTCATAGGAAAAATTTGAGAAATCTGGAAACACATGATGTATGACTCCTTCCAGCTCTGGCGTTCTAGGAGTCTACAGTTACAGGAGTAGTTTACAGTTCCATGTTACCGAACTCTTTCCTTCTCTAGGAAAATGGGTGCAGGCTAGAGGAGAGAGGGGATTTGGAAAAGCTATTGTGTGATGTGTTGGCCTGATCCAAGTTTAAGCATTTGCAAAGAGCAAAAGGAACAAGGAAGGGAGGATCTTGAGAATTCTGTCTGGAGTATGGTGAAGAGATGGAAGATGATACGTAGACTGGAGATGAAAGAAAGCAGAACTGTGCTAGAGCGATCATTGGGGAGATGATGGGGAAATGAGGCATGATGAAGAGAGTGATGGGGAAATGAGGCATGATGAAGCTGAGGAGCAGATACGCTACATGAGACAGAGAGGCTAAAAGGATTGTGGTTGGATATGAGGATATTGTAGCTTCTCGGACATGAAGACATTTTTAACTGACTTATATGCCAGAATCTGACCATCTGGGCTGGGGGTGGGGGCAAATTCTGGAGTAAAGGATATGAAGATAATGATAGCTTTGATTATATCTTGGAAAATTGCATCAGATAGCAATAAATGCAATTCTGAAAACCGGGAGACGGACTCTTGGACAAAGCTCTTATTTCTGCTGACCCCTAGTGGCCTGGAGGGTTTGCTAGGCAACCCATTACCACCCCACCCACTTCCTTTCCTCTGAGAACCAAGCTCCATTTAAATATATGAGAGTCCAAGAAGTAAATGCCCTCACCCTCACATTTACACATTTAGGTAACCAGGTTCATTTTTACCATGGTGTCTTCCCTATGCACTCTATTCCATGCTACTAGCATGCCTCTTTTTTACTGTGAAGTATGACGTTACAAAAAAAGTGCACAACACATACAAGTCAGCTCAGTGACTTACTCTTAAGTGCAAATCTTGATATCTGGTAAAGTAAATTTTCCTACCTTGTTTTTCTTCAGGAGTTTTTGGCTATGCTTGTTCCTTCATACTTTTGTATGCATTTTAGAATCAGCTTCTCTGGTACCACTCAAAGAAAAATAATATCCTATTAGGATTGCGTTGAATCTACAGATCTATTTGAGGAGAAATTATATTTTTCAGTATTGAGTTTTTTAATAGCATGAAACTACCACACAGATCAAGGAACAGAATATTGCTGGTACCTCCAGAAGATCTGTGTCAACTCCCAATCACCACTCCCTCTCTCCTCCCCAAAGATAACCACTCTCCTGACTTCTAGAAACACAGTTTAGTTTTCCCTTTTATAAAACCTTATAAAAATGAAATTTTGCATTATTTTTTGAACCTATAGTTCACAGATATGTATGAATATCATAAAGGTAATATTGAGCAAAAGAAACCAGACACAAATATAATAAAAAATAAGCATTTATTTTTGATGCTTTATAGAATATCAGTATATGAATATTGTAGAGTTTATTTATCTAGTTGACTATCTATGGGCATTTGGATTTTTTTCAGTTTTAGGCTATTATGAAAATTGCATCTATGAACATTCATATGCATGTCTTTTGGTGCATATGTGCACGTATTTTTGTTGGGTATGTACCTAGAAGTAGAATTACTGAATCATATAGTATGCATATCCTCAAATTGACTAGATAAGACCAAACTGTTTTTCAAAGTGGGTGTAATAATTTACTTTTCTATCAGCTACACATGAGAATTTCAACTGCTACGCATTCTAACCAACTCCTGGAAGTAGAATTACTGAATCATATAGTATGCATATCCTCAAATTGACTAGATAAGACCAAACTGTTTTTCAAAGTGGGTGTAATATTTTACTTTTCTATCAGCTACACATGAGAATTTCAACTGCTACGCATTCTAACCAACTCCTGGTATTACCAGTCTTTTAAGTTTTAGTCATACTGTTGGATGTGTCTTACTATGGCTTTAGTTTGTATCTCTCTAATTATTAAGGAAGTTGAACAACTTTTCATATGTTTATTGGCCATATTAAAACCCTCTTTTCTAAAGTGCCTATTAAATCTCTTGCCCATTTACCTTTGAGTTTCAGACTATTTAATGGATTAGTATAAGCTTTTTATATATTTTGAATATGAGCCCTGATAGAGTTTGGATGTGTTGTCCCCTCCAAAACTCGTGGAAATTTGATCCCCAATGTGGCAGTGTTGGAAACTGATTGCATCATGGGGCGGATCCCTCATGAATGGATTAATGCTTCCCCTGGGGGAGGGGGGTATTAATGAGTGAGTTCTCGCTCTATTAGTTCCCATGAGAGCTTGTTGTTTAAAAGACCCTGGCACCTCCTCTCTCTCTCTTGCTTCCTCTCGCCATGTGATCTGCTTGTATCCCTGGCTGCCTGCCACTTTCTGCCATGAGTAGAAGCAGCCTGAGGCCCACGCCAGATGCAGCTGTCCCAGAATCATGAGCCAAATAAACCTCTGTTCTTCATAAATTACCCAGTCTCAGGTAATTCTGTTATAGCAACACAAAATAGATTAATACAAGCCCTTTGGCAGTTATATGTGTAGCAAATATCTTCACCCATCTGTGGCTTGCCTTGACAATTTCTCAGAGATACCTATTGTTGAGAGAAGTTCTTATTTTTAGTGTAGAACAGTTTAGTAATCTCTTCTTTTATAGTTAGCAGTTTTTCTGTCCTGTTTGAGAAATCTTTCTCTGTTCCCATGTAATGAAAATATTCTTCTATCATCTTCTAAAAGCCGTGTGGTTTATCTTTCATGTTTATATCTGCTATATACCTGGAAATGATTTTTGGTGTATGGTGCGGGAGGGGTCAAGTCTCATTTTTTCCATATGGATATGCTATCAGCTGTTTATTGAAAAGATTGTCCTTGCCCCACTGCAGTGTCGTCTTTATCATAAATCAAAGGTCCATATATGTGTGGTCTGTTTTGATGTTATCTATTCTGCTCCATTGATCTATTTGTTTATACTGTGCCAGTGCCATACTGTCTTGATCACAGATTTATTATGAAAGTTGATATCTGCTAAAAAGAATTTTCCCATTTGTTCTTTTTCTTCAAGAGTTCTTGGCTACTTTTGTTTTTTGAATTTTTATATGTATTTTAGAATCAGTTTGTCAAGCTCTCCCTCCCCCAAATCCTGCTGGAATTTTAATTAGGACTGCATATATCAATTTGAAGAGAACACATATCCTTTTACTATCGAGTCTTTCAATTCACACAAAAATAATATATCCCTTTATTTAGATCTTTTTTAATTTCTCTAAATAATGTTTTATATTTTTCTTCATAAGAGGACTTGTATTTCCTTTAAAATTTTTTTCCACTTGCTCAGCTTTCATACTTTATAATTTATCACTTAGCATTTGATAGTTTGGGAAACTATCATCAGTGTTATCTTTTAAAAATTTTTTAGTTTTCAATTATTTGTTATTGACATATGGAAATACAATTAATTTTTGTATATTAACCTTGTATCTGCAACATTGATAAACTCATTTACAAGTCCTAGTCATTTATCTATAGATGATTTGGATTTTCTCTGTGCACAACTGTATTATCTGTAAAAAATTAGTTTTACTTTTTTAATTTACTATTCACATAACTTCTCTTGCTTTTTCTTGTCCTATTTTACTGGCAGAGATGTCCCACACAATGGTAAATGGAAGTGGTAATAGTGGCATCCTTGTATAGTTCCAAATTCAAAAGGAAAGCTTAATATCTCACCATTAAGTATGATTTTTGCTAAAGTTTTTTTTTTGTAGTGGCCTTTTTCTATTGCACTAAGAATATTATCTTCTATTCTTGGTTTGCCAAGACATTTTAATCATGAATTGATGTTGAATTTTATCAACACTCTTTCTGCATCTGTTGAGATAATCTTACAGCTGTTTTTGTTTTGTTTTGTTTTGTTTTGTTTTTTCCCCTTATTTATTTGTGGCTATAGTGAGCTACACTGATTTTCAAAAGTTAAACCAACTTTGCATTCCTAAAATAGAAGCAATTTAGTCTGGTTCTTTTTAAATGTTGCTGGATTTTATTTGCTAATATTTTGTTAAGGGTTTCTCTCCCCACCCCCCAACTTATGTTTCTGAGTAAAATTGGCCTTTAATTCTCCTTTCTTGCAATGCTCTTGTGAGGTTTTGATATCAAGATTATGCTAACCTCTTAAAATGAGTTGGGGTGTGTGTTTGTTTCCTAGAGCTGTCATAGCAAATTATTACAAACTTGGTGGCTTAAAAGAAAAGAACTTTATTCTCTACCAGCTCTGGAGGCCAGAAGTTCATAATCAAGGTGTCAAGGTGTCATGTCGGCAGGGCCACAGTCCCTCTGAAGGCTCTAGGGGAGAGTTTCTTCACATCTTCCAGAATCTGGTGGCTCCAGGAAGTCTTTGGCATTTGTTGGCTGACAGCTGCATGACTGTGATTTTCGCCTCCAGTTTCACATGACTTTCCCCTCTCTGTGCCTCTGTGTCTTTTCCTTTTATATCTCTTATAAGGACACTTGTCACTGGATTTAGGACCCACCCTATTCCAGGGTGACCTCATTTTGAAATTCTTACCTGAATCACATATACAAAGACCTTTATTCCAAATAAAGGAAGAGATTCTGAGTGGACTTATCTTTTGGGGGCCACAATTCAACCCACTACAAGGTGAATTTCCTTTTTGTTACTTTCTGGAAATGTTTGGCTAGAATTAATCTTCTTTCTTCCCTTAAATATTTGGCAGAATTTACTGGTATCTGAGACTGGGAATTCACTGCTATTTGAGACAGGAGTTTTTTGGTGGAGGATTTTTTTAATTATATTTTTATCATTCCATTTTCTCCTCTACTATATGAGGAAAAATTAGTAATTACTCATACTAGTAATTAAACAATTTTTTTTCTATTCTTTTAGTGGCTACCCTAGAAATTATAAAATACATCCTTATTGAAGTGTAATATTTACTCCTTTCCTGGATAACACTTTAACTCCACTGTAACTTCACCTATTTATTTATGTGCCATTTTTGGTCATTAGGGTAACTGAATATATATATATATATAAATATATATATATATATATTTTTTGTCTTTTTGTCTTTTTTTTCATGTCCGGCAACGGATCGCAACCCTCAGTGTTGTGCCCGTACCGGACCGGGACCGGCAACAGGATCGCAACCCTCGGTGTTGCCCCCGCTCCTCACTCAGCCATTGAGCGGGAACCGGTCTGTATGTGGGATCCGAACCCTCGGCGGGAGCGCCGCCGTGCTTCCCAAGCAGCGCACTGTACAGACAAATCAAATTCCTCTTCCATATGGCAGTTCATTTAGTAAGTTAAGAGAAAGGTCATGTCCCACCTTGAATCTTCTTTCCTCCCAGTTGAGTTTTCCAGATCTTTAACTCTTTTATCAGATGACAAGATTCCAAATTCTCTTGTATTAAAACACATCTGGTGCAGTTTCAAGTCTTGCTCTGTGTCCAGGGAGAGTGAAGAGCAGCATCATTCTATGACCAGTGTCCCCAAAATGTGTTGAAATGATGACTTCACTATCGTAAGTGATGTCATCCCCACCTTACAGGGATGTGGTCTCAATTTACCCTTACCTGACTTTGTCCTGATATTGTGTATTTTAATTCATTCAAAGTAATATCAAAAAATATAATCTCAAGGTTGTTTTTTTTTATGTGTCCAGCATTGTTTCATGAGGGATGCAAAGAAATATAGGCTATTTCTCAAGGAATTTATAGTTTGTATGGAGAAACAATGTGTAAATATATTTGGGTATTTTAAATACAGTGTACAGTTGCCATAATGTGTGAATTAGACATTAAATACCTGAGGAATTTAGGTAAAGGACAGGTCATTTTAAGTTGAGGTAGACAAAGAATAATGATAGGAAGAACATGTACTTAAGTTGAAAGACTCTGGTGGCACTGCTGGCTGTGGTAGTCCTGGCATGTGCACATTAGGAAAGTACTTAATCTTTTCGAGCTTTAGCTTCTCGTCTGTAAAATGTAACAACAGTATCTAACATATGTAGTTCTTGTGAGGCAAGGAGAAGACGTATGCTAGGGTGAGTAAGAGCAGGGGCAGCAGCGTGGGATGGAACAAACTCTGCATGTAGTGGGTGATGTGAGAGAGACATGTTGCTTTGCCTGCCGCGGGTTTGTCACTCCTCTTCCCCTGGGTGATGGAGCCTCAAAAGATTACTCAAAGCCCAGCTCTTCTGAGCAGTGAGAAGCCCCGAAGGGGTTAATCTCCCAGAACCCTCTAGAGAGAGGCATTCCTTCCATTTGGGAAATTAACCATGAATTGGGGTTCTCTTCCCACATTTATTCTCCAGACCAGGAAGTTACAGGAAGGGAACATAGGTGGGGTTATAGTTTAACAATATAGGCTGGTAACATTCAGTAAAACAAGCAAAATGACATTCCATAATGTGATTTGCAAGAAGTTAAGTGATCCACCAACAAAAGCTTGATCTTAGCAAACATTCTCTCTCCCTACACAGGTTCCCAGTATCTTTACATATCAATCAGTAACCTGTCTGTCTTTGAGCCAGCAACCTTGTTGTGTTACAATTCTTTATCTTACAAGAGAGACTATAGCCTGGGGAAAATTTCCTGTCTTTTGCAAGATCAACATTTTATACGTACTTTTAAGAAGTTAGACTAAACCTGAATCTACAAGAAACTAGGCCCTGTGAAATATATTTGCTTTATAGTATACTCCACAGAGACAGACTAAATTCTAAGATCCAGTCCCCTTCAGCTGCCCCTTTAAGGGCCACACCAACTTCGACTCTCTGTGAGGAAGGCTTTTTAAACACCTGGGAAGCGTGAATGAGGCTACCTTGGGAGGTTGTGAGACCCAAGATGTCACTCAGGGAGTCCAAGCAAAGCCTGGAGAATTGAGTTCCAGGGAAGTTGGTGGAGAATTCTCACCTGGGAAGGAGGCTGGATGCAATGTCCCTAAGGAGTTTTCTAACTCAAGGCTTCTTGAATCTGTGCTTCTCCCTGGGGAGAGTAAGATGGGAACTAGCTCTCTGCTCAGCTAATCTGCTTTCTTTGCTTCTCTGGTAGCCTGTTCAGAAGCAACCAGACCCCCTACCACCTCAGGATCCCTGCACCACCATTTATGTTGCTGCTGAAGAGCCTGTCCCAGAGTCTGTCCAGGTGAGGCGTCTCTCTGTGCCTCCTCTCTGTTGAGAGGGAATAGGCAGAGGGATGGAGGAGAAGTGTTTGTTTGTTGAGATGAAGTGAAACAGATTGATGACTGGGGAAGGTAGGCCACAGCCAGCAGGCAGCTAGGAGTATCTGTGGCGTTGGTTTTAACAGCTTCCTCATGCCTGCTCACATGGGGTCATGGCTCACATTCCATTGGCTGGTGTTTCTCTGAGAGTCGTCCAAGGACCACATCAGAATCAGCTGGCATACTTATTAAAAACAGATTCCTGGGGCCTTTCATCTAGGAGTCTGTTAAAACAGAAGGCCTACAGAGAGTACTCAGGGACCTACACATTAGAAAACAACATACACCAGGTGATTCAGATGCATACTTAGGTTTGGGAATCATAGTTTGAGTCCAGGAGTTCTCAACTGCAGCTGCAAAACAGAATCACCAAGGTAGCTTTGTAAATGCTCATGCCTAGACTCCCTTCAACCCCGTTTAATCAGAATATTTAGGGGTGGAGCCCTGCATAGGTGTGAAGTCTAGAGGAGAATACGACACACAACACAGAATGAGACTCACCTCTTCTAGCCCACTGCAAAGTCAACATGGACTAAGTTTACTTCTGACAGGAATGCTCCTTTTACTAAATGAACAGAAATAAATTCTGAAATCTTGGCTCCAGTCAAGCTCTATTTAACAAAGTATTTTAGGAAGGAGCCCAGCTTTAGAGATGCACAAAGGTCACAGAAATGCCTACACCTACCTCTCTTCTTCAAAGCTTCTGCTGCTCACACACCCAAATATGCCTGGGCGGGTGCCCTACTTCGAGATGAAATAGACCTTCATCTGCGGTCTATTTTCAGTACATTACCATATCCGGGAGGGAAGTAAAAATATAAATCTGACTTCAAAAGCTTTTAAAAATAACATAGATTTTAAATGAAATTTATGTGGGGAAGGAAAACAGTATGTTATATTTCACATTTTACAGCAATACCTCCTAAACTCCCCATTCCCTCCTCTTTCTTTCACAGACTCTCCTCTCCCCTTGAGAGGTCCTTGTCTTCCCCTCTCCTGCCCTTCCTGCTGCAACCACTGCTCCCCTCTCCCTTTGGGTCTTGCTAGCCCTTTCAAAAACTCGATAATTTAGAACTCTCTTGGCTTCTCCAAATTTTGCCCATGACTTACAGCAAAACAAATGGTTTCCCTTACAAGGGAAGGGAAGGGAAATGAGAGGGCAGAGAGGGAGGCAGGGCACTGAGTGCCAGTCCCCAGATCACTGGGGACAGGGCCTGTCTCCCCGATGATATGCTTATGCTTAGAAGGGAGCCGTAGCGCTTTCTGCAGGCAGGGTAGCAGTCTGGGACCTGAGTATTGCCTCCAGCAATGTCCCGTCTGTGACAGACCCTCAGAAGTAGCTGTGCTACAGGATCTCGGAGGCCCTTTCCTTTTCCTAAGCAGTGCTGTTTCCATTTGCAGCCAGTAAAGCTAGTTCCCAGTCCCTTCACTCATGGACTTCTGCTTTGCCTCCAGGAACCAAATTCCATCACAGTCTATGCCAGTGTGACACTTCCAGAGAGCTGACACCACAGATCCAGTAGAGAGACTTTCTGAAAGAAGATGGAAGAACCAAAATAAATGCTGAACTTGGCCCCAGGCCCCGAGTTCCCTGTGACAGACAGTCTACACATCTGCACCCTTCTTGGATCAAAGTGATGTTTCTTCCATGTACACCTGTGAAATGGACAAGGAAGCAAGACTTCCAAGCATTTAGCCTGCACTGCAGTGGACACAGGCATAGAACACAGAGCTACTTGATAAAGTTTTGCATCTTTGTGATGTAACCAGTGACATGGATAACGTGAGACCAGACTTCCAGGCATTTTGCCCTTTGCTGGGATTGGATAATAAAAACCAAAGACAGAAAACCAGAACATCTATCTCAGACAGCAGACCATGAGCCATAAAGTCTGGAAGAGTTTACATTTTTGCTGTTTGTTCTGGGAACTAATCCTGATAACCTGCAGACCTGATTAAGACTCTGTGCCTCAGTTTCTCTCTCTGGGTAAAGGGTATATAAAGGGTGAAAGGTGAATTCCTTATTATATTCCTTATTATATGAGATTAATCTAGAAAAGAAGCTGAGAGGATCAGTATTTTATTTGTGAAACCCAGAAGCTAAAAAGTCAATAAACTGAAAGAATGACTTTGAGGTCTCTGAGCTTGGAACTTTCCCTCTGAGAAGGGAAACCATCTAAGATTTTAAAAAGTATTGTTCTGTGCAAATGCCATTCAGTTTTAAAGAAAATTGTCTAGTATTTGGTGTTACTGTTATGAAGGAACTTGAGATACTCAGAAAAATTTGTCTCAGGATAATTTTCCACTTCCCCAAATGATTTTTAGATACAACTTCTCTGTTTATTCCCTTAAGCAACAAATCTGGAGCCTCAGCTAGGACTCCGTGACCTGATTCTGAACCCATTGGACATCCATGGCCTTATGTGACATTGCAGGTCAGAGTCTCCTCCAGGCACTTCCTGCTCCCTGCATACCTCTCCTTACACTAGACCTATCTTCAAGTAGAAAATTAAGTTATTTCGGCCCCACAGCTTTAAATGATTAAATGCTCAATAACTTAGATTGCAGGCTGCAGTCAGAAAGAGGCTCTTTTAGTAAAGTCCTATTTTCTTCCTATTCTCTGCTTTCAGATAGGCTGTCTTCAATTTAAGTTCTTTTTTTATTTTTTTCTTATTGGTTCTTGTATAACTTTGGTGAACACTTTAATAACCAACTTTTGTGACATTGCTTAACAAGGGGCACCAGCTTCCTAGCTCAACTCTGAAGTCCTTAGTGCCTTGTATCTTACCTCTTCTGTTCAGTCAATTCATGCTTTAGGTTCTGCTGTTTAGAACATCCCATTTCCCGGTACCAACTTCTGTAATAGGGTTCTCAGTTGCAATCAACAGAAACTGCCTTTGGATTTTTTTTTTATGTAGAAAGGGAACCTACTGAAAAGATATTGGTTTGCTCAAAGAACTGCTAGGAGGTTCTGAAAAGCCATGCCCTGAAAGTGAGCAGGAAAAAAAGTAGACTAGGCTGTGGCTAGGATCACAGTCAAAACTGCAAAACCAGCCCTGTGATGACGATCCTGGGCACCACAGTGGCAGGGCCACTGTCCCGAACACTAGGCACGGACTCCACCACTGCTTCAACTGCCTCTGCTGGGCTTGGAAACTCAATATTACTGTTGCTGCTGCACCGTCTGCCACCAAAACAAATTCTCCATGGTCCCTTCTTCATATTTTCATCTCTAGTTTCTAATTCAAAGTGTGGGACTGAGTGACCAATCCTAGGTCACACATCTATGTGCTACCTTTAAGGGAGGCTGAGAATTGAATATCTGGCATTTTCCACCTTCATAGTAGTTGGTAGGCTGTGCCTCTTATGAGTGTGGGTATTACCCAAAAAGAAAAGAGGGGTTCAGGTGCTAGGCAGGCAAAAAACAAATGTCCACTACACCACCCTTGTATAACCTTAGGCTCATTAGGTGTCTATTCTCAAAACTGTAGAGCTACTAACAAGGATTTGTAAACTTTGGGATTATGAGCACTTATTTCTTTACTACGACTCAGACTGCTTCAGAAGCTCAGTTCCCAGCATGGGTTTTTTTCTGTGGCTAAATTCTACCTGATGGAAGGATAGAAACAAAGGGGGGATAAGAGGCTATCCCCTCAAAATGCCCTGAACCCCTGGGCTTAAGACCTCACTGGGGAGGGGGGCGATGCCTTAGAGGGAGTCTTTTGGGCCACACATCAAGCAACACTTGACATTATGTCTCGCACCCCAGGCCCCATACAACGAATGGGAAAACAGAGAGCCCCTTCTGCTTGTACTCTTGACATTCTCCAGTTTTCCCCAAATGGCACCGCAGGTGAGTGGAAGCTTGCCTTTTCCTCAGGCTTCAAAAAATGAAACTGAGATTTTAGAGTCTGGGTTTTACATGTCTCTCCTCTAATGCTGTTTTCTTTTGACCAAGCATATTTGAATTCTGGAGAAGTCAGGAGGAACAGAGCTGTTCTCGGTTTGAAGGCACTGATGTTCTGAAATATGACTGGGTGTGGTCCCAGGCCCCTTTAGGACACTTACTTTAGTCACACAACCAGAATGTGATTGTTGCAGGGTGTGTATGCTGGCTGAGAAGACACTGTGAGTTTATCTTCTCCCTGAAGTTTGTGTTTCTACTTCTTGGAAATGAATAAAACATGGCCAATCCATCAAAGACATTGCACTTTTCTGTTTCCTAGAGGATTTATCACATGGCAGTTGACAAGACAGGTGTTGTGGCCTTGTGTCTCCACAGCTATAATTCTGCAACACTGAAGTTGGCCAATTTGATTGACTGAGCTGTGAGATTTTCCCTTTCCTAGGGTGTGGGCAAGGGTTTGCTCAGTGCCCCCTTTGCCAAAGGCCAGGAATCACCCTCCACACAGAGAAGAGAGCTCCATTTAAAGGATTGTTTAGTTTTTGTCACTGCCAGAGGAATCCCCTTCCCTCAACTTCCCTAAATTCCCCCTAGAAAAGGGTTTCTCTACTGTGGCACTATTGACATTTTGGGCTGGATAATTCTTTGTTGTGGGGTTTGTCCCATGCATTGTAGGAGGTTTAGCAGCATCCCTGGCCTCTACCCACTAGATGCCAGAAGCACATACCCTATCTTTGATCACGACAATCAAAAGTGTCTCCAAAAAAATTTTAAAAAAAAAAGGGCCGGCCCGGTGGTGCACTGGAGAATGCGCCGCTTGGGAGTGCAGCGGCACTCCCGCCAAGGGTTTGGATCCCATGTGGAGACCAGTTCCCGCTCACTGGCTGAGCGCGGTACAGGCGCAACACCGAGGGTTGTGATCCCGTTGCCGGTCCCCGGTACGGGCACGACACCGAGGGTCGCGATCCTGTTACCGGTCAGTAAAAAAGACAAAAAGGAAGAAAAAAAAAAAATGTCTCCAGACATTGCCAAATATCCCCTGGTAGACAAATCTTCCCCAGTTGAAAACCACTGTAAAGATATATTGGCCCCCTAGTCAGCTTTGAGTAGACTAAATATACTTCTACATACCAAGAAGTAGATCCATCAAAAATCACATTTCGAAAGTGGCCACCTGGTCACTTAAGTGTGGGCCAAACCTGCCAATATTCCCAAGGTTATCTAAATATTAGAATTTCCTGGGTGTTTTTTTAAAGACACTGATGCACTAATCCTACCTCAAACCCAAATGAAATCTGGGTTGATATACAGAACCACCCCTCCGGAGGCTGTGAGACAGACAGAATTTTGTGATGTGTTCCACACAACAGCCACAAGAGGGTGATGTAACAATATAGTCCACACTAGCCCAGCGTCCTTACCACTACTTCCCTTGCCTTTGAAGGAGTGTGGGCTTAGTCACAGGTCACTTAGCCTGTGACTGGATTCTCATCATCTCACAGCATTTGCAGGCTGGAGGGAGAGATGCCCCCATCCTTAGAAATAAGGAGGCCCAATGTGATTGATGACTGGATCTAATTAATGTTAATTGCAGTAAATTTATTTCACAGAAGACTCCTAGTTCTATTCAATGCTTCACTCATTCAACAATAGTTAACTTCCTACAAAGTATGAGAGCTTATTGCCCAGTGGAGATACAGAGAACACAGGCAATTAAAATGTTATGATAGGTAAGTCAGTACATGATCTACTGAGACCCACTGGAAATTAAAAAGAGATGCTCTAATAATCATACTGAGATAATGGCTAGGGTATATAGTCACACTAATGATAGAGGAAGTGAAGGGTCTTCAGTAAGCACACAGGAGGTGCACCCAACTCAGACTTGAGCAGTAGGGAGGGTAAGTTATTTTAGGTAAAAAGTTTAAAGCGACAATGGAAATGAAGCAGGAAATTTCTTTCAAGTAGCTAAAAATGAGACACTGTAGTTTACCTTTATTGTAGTCCCACTTTGAAGCTGAGACTAGGGAGAGAGAGAAACAAAAGATAGGCCATTGATACTGTTATGACCACTTTTAAAAGGCAGAAGAATTTAAAACATAGTCACCGTTGCAAATCAAATCACTTGGTGTAACAGAAGGCAAGAGAGGAGATTCCAAGGAGGACAAAAGAGTCACCTACATCAGAAGGTTTTGAAGGAGAAAGAGTTTAGAAAGGGACACTGGATTTGGTAACAGATTATAAAGTGGGGATTGTGTGAGATGATTTGCAAAATCAGGAGTGAGATGAGAGAAGTAAAATTAAATAAATATTGTTTGGCCAAATGAAGGGTAGTGCTTTTTCAAATTTCTTGCCATTTCTTGCCCCCAAAGATGTTTTGGGGTCATAAATCAAACATTTCTATTATACGATTGTGGATAGTCAGGGTTGGAAGAGACCTTAAAGGCAACCAACGCCGTCCATTCCTTGGCCCAATTCTTCCCCACCACATCCCGGACATTGTAACCTATGCTTTACTGCTTCCGGTAGTGGGGGACACTCACTCTCCCAATAAGGTAAAGTGCATCTCTGGTTGTTGGAGAGTGCTCTAAACAGAGCAAATATCCATCTTCCTATCACAGCCCCCTCTATTTACCCCTCACCTGCACTGGTCCCATCCTTCTCATTGGAGCTGAGTAAAATAAAATCTAATTATTTTTCTAACTAAACATTCTTGGAACATTTAAAGACATTGATTCTTCTCAATTTCTGCTCCCAACCTTCCTGCTCCCTTGTTAGTCTGGTGGAAACTCCCTTATAGGTGACTTGATGTTTTT